TTTGTCCTTTTAAGGGAGTCAGTGCTTGTAGGGTTGTCCCTGGAGATTGTTAATCTTCCTTAAATTGATGGAGAGTAATATTGATTCATTCCACTGGGTTGACTCACTTCCACCTCCCACTCATTCCCCTTCCTTGGAGCCTGGTGGACGCAGTGAATCCCTTAGTCAGTGAAAGTGAATCCGCAGGCTTTGCAGGAGAAGCTTAGAGACCCTTCTGGCTGTCCCACATCTCCCCACACTCCACAAGCTGAACATCACACAGGACACCTGATCATCGAGAACAGAGACCGACAGCAGTACCGTGTGGATCAGGCACAGGTGACCTATGCAGGAGACACATTGCCATTGATGGTGATGAGAAGGGAAGCCCAGGTCAGCACTGTCCCCACAGCATGGACACCAAGGAAGGGTGCAGACTAGGCTGGCTGCACCAGGGCCTGCAGTGACAGGCATCAGCTGCTTTTCATGGGGAGGGGAGGGCCCACATTGCATCTCTTTATCCCTGTGGACATGGATGATCAGCCATCAGGGGCCCACTGCCCTCTGCCCTCTGTCTCCCAAGGAGTGTGTGTGGTAACCATTCCTGGGGCTTGAGGATCAAAGTTCCGCTGCCAAATGCCCCCTTCTCTGGCAGAATCTTCTCCTTATCTTTGGTTTTCATTGATTGCTTTGATACCTTCTCATATTCCTTCTGCTTTGGGTTCACCTACCCTCCTGGATTTGCGGGTTTGATTATTCAGGTATTGGAAATTCTCTGTGATTATCTCTTGGAAAATCCTTCTCATGTCTTTTTATGATCCTGTGGTTCTGGGATTCCAAAACTCTTAATACTGGATTTCTTAAGTTAATCCCACAATTCCATGCAGCTTGGTTCACTTTGGTCACTGGGTGAATCCAGGCTGGGTTGCCTATTTGCTATTTTTTTACTTTTCCTGGTCTGTGGGTTTCTCCCACAGCTCTTCTGTGCCTCTGGGCCCTAGCAGCTGCCTGTCTTGGTTTCAGGGGAACTCGATTCCACTCACCACCCCCATGTATTCAGCTTCCTGTGCCCCTCCGTAAGTACACACTTGGGCTTCCCTGTCCCATATTCTTGAATTCTCATAGCCAATATGCACCATTTTAATCAGTCTGCCCTTTTTTTTAGTTTCCAAGATTTCAAATCCACATTGTTGAATGTGTTACTCTCTCTCAGTTCTAGGAACTGTGGTGGCGTAGTGCCTAAGGCATTTGACTTCTAACCAGAAAGCTGGTGTTCAAACCCATCAGTTACTCTTCAGAAGGAAGTTTGGTCAATATACTTCCATAGTGATACCGCCTTGGAAACCCAAGGACGGGTCACTATGAGTCGGATATGACTACACAGCAGTAGTTATGTTGCCTTTTTTTTTTTTTTTTTCTCTCAGTTCCACCCTGGGAAGAAGTCATCC